GATCAGGCCGTTGGCTTCAGACAGAGCCTTATGTCAGGCCCAGTATGACACAAGCACATTTTCCCCAACTACTTAAAGGTTATGTAATGGAGATCTGCAGAGCATTAGCAGCCACATGACACGTCCCACTAAGATTCCAAACTGCCACCTACAAAATTTAATTAGCAAGCAGTAAACAAGAGAGGGGGCAAGGAATGCACTCCTGGAGCTGCCAGGGAATATTCCTAAGGTTCCAAACTATGTGCAGGACTGGGGCAGGGAGGTGGGGAGAGCAGAAAGTCAGGAGGGGGACTGTGAGTGCCACAGAGCAGGGAACTGCCTGCAGGACACAGGGGCTAGAGGCAGCCCTGCATGCTGGTCACTGTGACAGCCGAGAGCTGCTTGCCCTGAATTCTGAGCACCAGCAGCTCCCTGACCCTGACCCTATCCAGCTCCATCCTTCTCCAGCCACTGCCCAGCCCAGCACGCCCAGGGCTCTGTGCTGTGCCCCTCTGGCTGTGCCTGGCACAGATCTGTACCAGCCCTGGCTGTTCAACATCAGAGAACACTCCCAGTCAGAGGGGCAGGGCTCCCACTGGGCTTCCCACACCAAAAAGGCACCATGGTGTTCCATACTGCAGCAACAAAGGGCATTTTTCCAGCTCTGTAATGAGGAGGTACAGAAATATTCAGCAGGAGCTGAAAAGGTAAAGTCACAGAAGAAATTCCCCATTTTGGAGGAATTTAGCCTTGATTTAGGATTCTTCTAGGCCAGCCCTAAACAAGTTAACCTGCCTCAAGAAAGGTTTGTTTTCCTTTCACAGTTGCCAAGAGGGGGTATAATTGTAATTTTTCCATCACACATCCAGTGTAAAAACTTGATGGGGCTGTCTGTAAAAATGATTTATGCTCCTCAGTGAAAGAAAATGAATCAGTCTAGTTCTAGGGGAGGTGGAGCATGGAAGGAAAAGGGAACATGTGAGGGCTGCCCACCAGCCCACCCTGTTCACATCCAGCCTTGAGGAAGAGGGGCTGGCTGCAGGATGGTCTCTAAAGGAAAACTAGAAAAGGGTTTCCAACTGCCCTGAGATGAGAGCAGGGAAGAGAATCTGTGCCCTGCTGTTATTTTCTCAGTGCCTTCCTCTTGCCTGTTCACAGGAACAGCCTGCACTGCTGCTGAGCAGCCAGCACTGGGCACAGCAATCCCTGCTGCTCTAGAAACCCTGTGTGTCCAGCAGGAAATAGAAAACTTCATGGCAATTATGTATGTTTTAAAAAGCAAACCCGCCATCCCATTCCCTCTGTCCTGACACCTGCACTGGAAATGTTCCTACCAAACCAGTGCCACCAGCAGGGGAATGAGGCTCTCCAACCTGCATGTACCCACCAGCACAACACAGAAGTTTGCTAATCACATGCTCTTCCTGAAACCCCAGAACAAATTCAAATTCTTCTGGCACTCAGCAATATGTCCATAGATCAACAACACACAATGCAGGCTGTCAGTGATTTATGAGCAGCATCCAGGAGCCTCTGTTGGGATTCAGCATCCTGATGGAGAAAACAGCGTTTGGTCTGAAAATCTCATTTCCTAAGCAGATAAAATGAATTGAATGTAGTGGAAAGAGTTCATTATTATTCCCATTTACAGAAGGAGAACAGAGCCCAGGAGATGCTGAATGCTTTGCTCAGGGCCATTCACAGGATCTGTGGCAGAGCTGGAAGCCCCACTCTGGTTTCCTGATCAAGCACCACGAGCACCAGCCCAGGTGTGGAGCCACGAGCCCCTGGACCACTCTCATCTCCTCCCCAAAATCCCAGCCACAGGTGGCTTTACAGGCATCATCTGCAGTCAGAACACGGCTGCACACAGCATCTACCAGGATGGGTGCAGAGAAAGCGCGGTGCCCTCCCAAGCTGCAGCCCCCGAGCCCTCTCCCCCACCCCTGAGCACAAACTGGCTCCTGGCACCTTGTCTGGGGGAAGCTGCATTTTCCCAGCGCTGTGGCTACACTCCAGTTCCATTTTTATTGATGATATTGGGATGGATTTGTCAATTCTAGCAGCAATGCTGCTCTAGCAGAGGAAATGCTGCTGTCAGCAGCACTCTGACAATCCTCATCGGTGTTGGACAGGCATCTTACACAGGACATCAGCAGTCAGACAGGTAATCACCAGCGGCACCAGGTGTTTTCCAGAAAATCTGAAACAGCTTTCAGTTCCTTGGCCCTATGCACAGAGAGACTTTCCAACACCAGAGAGGAACTGCTGTCTGCACAGCTGAACATCCGACCAGAACAGGATATACAGGCTATGGAAGGGGGAAACAAAGGATTTCCACAAAATTCCACTTCAGTCAGAACCTTTTGCTGAATAATAACCCAAAAATAAGTCCCAGGAAAAAAGTCGTGACTAACAGATATTTCAGCTAGTGTGACATATTCCGTAGCAGTGTGAGGGCCTGAAACAGTCTCAGTGAAATGACAAACAGCCTTGACTGTCAAACCACGCTCCATTCCACATGAATATTGAAAGGACAGGACATGGCCAACTGCTTCCTCACTCCAGAGCAAAGTCAGCCAGAGTTTGGATATCTAATTTGGATCTGTGGTAGGGCACTTGACACACGAAAAGGAACCCCTCATACCCGAGGATGTTAATTATCAGTGATGACAGGCTTCTCTTTCTCTTGTGGCAGCCCAGAAAGGTTCTGTAAGAGCCCTGTTGTGCTGGAGCATTGATTTAAGGCTCAGGATCACACAGCTCTCCAAAGGGCAGGGGTTACACACACTAACAGGTATCTAAACCAGAGACACACCTGTACACTCCGGGCAGATGCAGAAGTGCATCCACAGCTTGTACAGGCACGGACTGGTCACATCCACAGAGATGCTTCAGATTTCTGAGCTTGCAGCTGGCAGTGAGCTCCAGCAGCACTTAGCAGCTATTCAGACCATTTTCATGCAGGAATCTCTGGCACTGCCCTGCCCCATATTTTATTCCACCTTACTTTTCCTACCCCTAAAACCCACCTGCTGTTTTAGAGCTGTAACTTGGTTTTAATTCTAGAAATTTCAACGTGCTGCCTGTCTCAAAAAGGTGCTCCAGGTAGAGGCAAATTCATCAAGGTGGATGTAATAGCAGAGCCCCTCTGTTCACTGCCTCTAGCGTGCAGTCATGCTGTATTTCAGCAGGCTGGAACCCGTTCAGGTATGTAAGCAGGGAAAAGCAGAGCTGCTCTCCAGCCTGCAGACAGCATGGCCACTTGGCTGGCTCCATTCAGAGCCGGTCTTTTCCCTTTTTGAAAGGAAATCTCTGCACAAAGCCACTGACCAGGACCATCAGATCAAAAAGGAACAACAAAGAGGCACCTAAAAAAACCCCAAACTCCTTTAAGGTAGTAGAAGCAGCACAAATGTGTTTCAAAGGCTGTCTACAGCGGTGAATCCTGGCTGACATCTGTAATATTTAATCCGAATTACCTTCTTCATTTGTCAGCTGGGCAGACTTGAAAGCCCTCCTCTAATAAAAATGTAACACCTCCCGATCAAAAACGCCAAAATACAAAGTGAAAACAGCAACTTTCATATCAGTGCCATATCCTGCTATTTTTTATCATATTGGCTTTATGGCGATGCTGTATCTTCCCCTCTGCTGCTTGGTCTGTGTTTCAGTATTTCATGCTGTTTCCTTAAGGCAGCTCTTCTATCTTTTGCCAAGCAATAGTCCTTATTTTTATCTGGATGATAACAATCATGGTATTCTTCCCCTGTCACAGAATACTTGGTGCAATTCTTAATGTTGCAACCAGTGCCTTTGAATTCAGGTATTTCTTCAAATTATATCCAATCCCTTAATAAGCAGGCTCTGAATTTACCAAATGCAGTGTCAAGACTCACTAATGAGTTATTCTGATGAGTTATTTTGTATACAAACCCTGCATCGGTGCCTGCCCTGGACAAACCAGCCCAGGCAGCGTTGTACCACTAAAAACCCAGGCAGCAGTAGCTTACAGAAGCAAACCCGAGGTTTTCATGTGCGCTGAGTCTCCCCAGCACAGCTGCACCGAGCCCAGGCACAGCTGTAATGTCGACCATCACATCCCTGGGAAGGACACACCCCCGTGCCCAGCGCCACAGCGTGGGAGAGGCACTGAGAGCCCCGCAGAGCCCCCGGACCCAGCCCAGCACACTGCTCCGGGCTAGTGAACTGCTGTTTATGGCAATTTGCAATCGGAAATGTTATTATTCTGCCCTACGCGATCGCCTGCAGAACACACATCCCCAGCCCCGCTGTCTGTAGCGCCCATGCAGCTGTCTGTATCTGCCTGCAAATCTCGCCGCTGGGTGAAAAAAGGATGAGGTATTCACCGGCAATTGCTCCGATTTAGCTTTAGGTGCCAGACAAATGCCACGCATTCGCACGGGCAGCGGCTGCGTGGAGCAGCAGCCGCTGATGACTTTGCCGTGACACGACAATCCACATTTGCAAAGCAAACACATTCCGAGGAGATGCACCGTGCCTGGGGCTGGGGGCAGGGACAGCCACAGCCACTGCCACCACCAACTTTGCCCACAGACACCAACACGGAGCAGAAACACAGCCACCAAACCTGCCAAAATGGCTTTTCTTTTATTGGAAACCCTAAAAGCGACTGGGAAATGACATCAGATTAAACATCAATCGGAGGGAGGGTGGAATAATCTAGCAAGAGTTTAATCCCTTTACCTAGTGCTCGTGCACGATGCACATTTTATTATTCACAGCAGCCCCTAGAAGGGAAGATGCAGTGAAGGGCATCACCGAATTGCTGCAGAATAATAAAGTTTGCTTGCCTGCGATAAGAGTTACCGACGCCGGAAGGGGACTCTGCCCCCGCACACGCATCCCCTTCCCCATCCCATCCCCTTCCCCATCCCATCCCCATCCCATCCCCATCCCATCCCCATCCCCATCCCCTTCCCCATCCCCATCCCCATCCCACCCCTGCGGCCCCGCAGAGAGCGGAGCGATCCCCGTACCTGCGCTCAGGCGGTGCCGGGGGCGAGCGGGCTCATGCGGGAGCGGAGCGGGGCCGGCAGCAGCTCCGGGGACCGGAGCTCCGGGTCTCGGCAGCAGCTCCGGGGCCAGGCAGGAGCTCCGGGTGTCAGCAGCAGCCGCAGCTCGGGGATCCGGGGCCAGGGAGGATCTCCGAAGGCAGCAGCCGCAGCTCGGGGATCGCGGCTCGGAGCTCCGGGCCGGCAGCAGCCGCAGCTCGGGGATCGCAGCTCGGAGCTCGGGGCCGGCAGCAGCCGCAGCTCGGGGATCGCGGCTCGGAGCTCCGGGGCCGGCAGCAGCCGCAGCTCGGGGATCGCAGCTCGGAGCTCGGGGCCGGCAGCAGCCGCAGCTCGGGGATCGCGGCTCGGAGCTCCGGGGCCGGCAGCAGCCGCAGCTCGGGGATCGCAGCTCGGAGCTCCGGGCCGGCAGCAGCCGCAGCTCCGGCGGCGCTCGGGGCCGGCGCTTCACGGGCGCTCGGCGGGCGGGCAGGCGGGGAGCCGAGCGAGCATCATCGCCGTGCACGGCCCCCGGGAGCCTATGAGGCGCTCGCAGCCGCCCAAGATGGCTTTCCCGGAGCCCCGGGCGCTCACATGGCCCGGGCCCCGCGGATGCGCCGCCCGAGGGGCGCGGAGCGGCGCGGGCAGAGCCGTGCCGGGTCAGCCGTGCCGGGTCAGCCTGGCCGGTCAGCCTGGCCTGCAGGACCGCCCAGTGAGCTGGAAACCCGAGCCCAGGGCTCGTTCCGCCGCCCGGCCTGCCCAATGACGCGCAGGAGCGGAATTGAGGCGGATTACCGGGAGCATCCCGGCCGCTCCGCCGCCCCTCTGCCCCAGCGAACGGGGCAGCGCGTTCCCACAGAGCTCCTAAGGTGCAGCGACATCTCCCCAGCAGGCAGAGGGAGACGCTGTAAGGGGATACAGGGAAACGTTTTCAATAAATCAAATTTTAGAAACCCAGTTTCAGTCGTTTTCTCGTTGTTTTTTGCTCCTAGTTTCTCCTGAGCAGAAATGATCTGAGTGACAGAATCTGATCACTTTGGGAGTGCATTCACTACAACGTAACTGAATTCCCCACGCTGATGAAGGTTAAATCATCAGGAAAACATCTGAATTATACTGAGTGGTAGCTCACTATTTTCCTTTTAGTATTTTACAGGGAAGTAAATATTTCACTCTCAAGGCACTATTTTATTGAATTCTGCTAAAGTATCTAGAGAAATACACCCCTCAATTCAATAATGTCTTTTCTGCAGTTCCTTTTCAGATACCAGCCTTCCTCCCATGGTTTTACCCACAGACATAACGAGGAAGAGCAGGAGAATTTTGGGGAAAGTTTGGCACTAACAAAAGAAGGCAGATTTCCCCTCAAGCCTAATGGTTCCTCCTGACGTTGGAGTGCATGGGGAGTTCCTGCTCTCCCTGGATGCCTCTCCGCAAGGAATTAGGAGCCATGGCAGAGGGAGTTCTCAGGTGATCTCTCTCTCTAGGTTTGTGTTATCTGGGTTCCCAGCTCACACCCTGATGTGTGCTGAGCAGCTGGGGAATCTCTCCCAGCTGGCCTTGTCTGGATTTCTGGGTGCAGCAGCTCCCAGCCACGCGTCTGTCTGAGCCCCCAGAGCTTGCAGAACCACCATTGCCCTGTGCATGAAGCACATTTCTCCTCAGAGGCCTGGGATTAAATCAGTGTGGTCACAGTGTGCCCTGCAAAGCCCTGGCTGCTGCTGGACAACCTGTCCCTCCCTGTCTGAATGAAACACCCAGATCTGAGCCCTGGGGACATGCCATTGCAAGGAGAAAGATCAGGAGAAGGTTTACAGACAATCTGTGCTTTCTTCACTGAAAGCTGCTTGGCACCATCTAGAAAGACTAGAACTTTCTGAATGAGAAGTCCAAAATCTAAAAATAGGGTCCCCAAGACCCCTCTGTTGTGCAAATCTCAGCCCCCAGTGACCTTCCCTGAGATCGCTCATGACTGCATCAGGAACAATCAAACTCTGGCATTTTCTGAGGGAAAAGCTGTTCCTAGCCAGGTTCATATGTTCATTTCCAGATTAGATTATGGCTCTGATATCAGGCAAAGCACTCTTACTTTTATAACCACTTTGTGGTATAAATGGCTTTTTTTTTTTTTTTTTTAGTCTAATTTTGGCTAGTCAGATTTTCCCCCTCAGCTGAGCCACATGGCAGCTTCAAACTGCAATGTTCCTTCTGACTGCATCAGCCCTGAGCACACTGTGCTCCAGCAGCAGCACCGATCTGAGCTCCTGACGTGAGCAGCACCAGAACATTCCAGCTGGCACACTGGAGATCTGGCTTGCCCAGGCTGGAGGCTGGAGGAAGGTGCCTGTTCCTTGTGTGCATTTGCACAAACTAAACAGGTTTGCCAGGCCAACCTGATACTTGAACGTCTGTCAGATGGCTGTAAAATGGTGTTATTGAGGGGTCAGACTGAGCCAAACCAGCTCTGCTCATCCCTTGTCACGGGTGGGTTTCAAACATTAATATCTGCATGGGGGGTGTGGGCACATACATGGATAAAATATGTAAATTATCATAAACTTTCTGAAAGCCTTCTTTTAAAAATATGCAAAATTATATGAATACATTTCATTAAGTCACTCTGAAAGTAAGTAAAATAGCAAGTAGTTTTTTTAACTACCACTACAGACTCACTGCTATGAAGGTTTTAAAACATATTCTTTATCTCAAGAACATGTTTAACAATTTGAGTCATAAAAATTTGACATATGCAACTTGTTATGCCACAGCAGATGAGAATTGACATTTTACTGGAACTGTTAGATGTTAGGATTTATTATCATAAACATATTATTATTATTTTGGTAGTTTGTGTGGCCAAATACCAGCATTAATTATATAGCTTGATAATAATTTTTCCTGGCTGCAGTTGTGCTGTTGATGGCTACTGGCATGTAAGAATATACATAATATATCTAACAGTTTTGCTGAGAGAAGAAAGGGAATTACAGCTCTGTGTGCCATGGAATCCCCCAGGGTGAGAATCCCCAAGGAATGACCCTCACTTCTGACAGACACTCTTTGGAGAAGGAGGGAGAGCAAAAACATCTTTCTGTAGATGATAAGGACTCGATGAAATACCGTTTAAACTGTGGCACTTTTCACAGGCTCTAATGAACGTCATGTTCTTGCCATGAACACGAAGCAATGCCGTGGGACAATTATTTACAGTATGTCCCAAGAGCTGGGCTGTCCTCCCCTCAGGGTGAGCAGCCAGCGCTGCAGGAGCCCTGCCCGTCCCAGCTTAGCACGAAAAGCCTCGGCAGGAGCTGCCCTGTGCTGTGCCAGGCCTGCCCAGGGTGCAGGAGAGCTGCCCTGTGCCGTGCCAGGCCTGCCCAGGGGTGCAGGAGAGCTGCCCTGTGCCGTGCCAGGCCTGCCCAGGGTGCAGGAGAGCTGCCCTGTGCCGTGCCAGGCCTGCCCAGGGTGCAGGAGAGCTGCCCTGTGCCGTGCCAGGCCTGCCCAGGGTGCAGGAGAGCTGCCTGCAGCGCTGCAGCTCCTGCGGGGCGTCCCAGTGTCCCATGGCACACTGCTGCTGCAGCTGGGGCAGTGGGACACGAGCCGGGAATGGAAACTGCTCCTTTGGGAATGAAACAATTCCTGTGGGAATGAGAGCTGCTCCTTTGGGAATGAAACAATCCCTTTGGGAATGAAACAATTCCTGTGGGAATGGGAGCTGCTCCTTTGGGAATGGGAGCTGCTCCTTTGGGAATGGAAGCAATTCCTGTGGGAATGGAAACAATTCCTTTGGGAATGGAAGCAATTCCTGTGGGAATGGGAGCTGCTCCTTTGGGAATGGGAGCTGCTCCTTTGGGAATGGGAGCTGCTCCTTTGGGAACAGGAGCTGCTCCTCTCGCAGCGTTTGCTGCTGGGCACAGGCCTCAGAGGCGCTGCTGGCCGGGCACAGAATCAGTACAGGACACGCCAAGGGCAGTTGGATGTTGGGGTGGAAACACAAAGTACGGGAACGGCACAGAGAACTGCCAAGTGCCAGCTCACATCCTCAGTGGGAGTCTCGAGTCTAAACCAGAAGTGTGGATTCAGACCCGAACTCCTCCACCCAGGACAGCTTATTGCTATTAAATGTTGTGTAAATTATCTGTTTTAGTGAGAAATGGACAGATAATTATTTTGGGCTTAACTCACCTATCAAACTATTTTCACTGTAACTGTTTACCAGCACAGTTTGAGATGAAGAACAGGAGTGGATTTTCACCTATCCTCAGGCATCCCAACTGATTTTGGAGTTCTGAACACTCCCCTTGCAGCAGCTGGATCTCAGATCTTTTATGCTTTTGGATTGTTTGTTGATATTTTGCAGATGTTGAGACTTAGCATTGACAAAGTGCATTTTCTGCTTTGAAGGCAGCATTCTGGTGATTGTTTTTGCGATGACAGCAGTGTTAGTGGATGACAGTGTCAATGAAGATGAAGGGTTGACAGCCTGGTAAGGAGAAATTACATTTTTCATGTCATTCTTGCTAAAGCTTTGTCTGAGGGATAGAATTTAATTCAAATTCTTTCAAAACTCATAGCGTAAGTGCTTTATTTGAAAGTTTTCTTTCTCAGACATTTCATTCGAGCTGTAAGTGAACAAGAGCCAGTCTCGCCTGAGCAGTCACAGGGAAGAGACAGGGATAACAGGAGGAGATGAAAGGCAGGCAATTCCTTTTCCTTTTCCTCTCCCTTCCCTTCCCCTCCCTGGGGCCGTGGATTTGCCACTGGATGGCAACCGAGCGCTGCTGCTCCGCGGCTCCTGCGGCCTGTTCCAAGCTGATCCGTGCCGGACCCACTGTTCAATCGGAACCAATCCGTGCCGAACCGACCCGTGCTGAACCCACAGCCCGTTCTGAGCTGATCTGTGCCGAGCCCACTGTTCAATCAGAACCGACCCGTGCCGAACCGATCCATGCCGGACCCACTGTTCAATCGGAACTGATCCGTGCCAAACCCACAGCCCGTTCAGAGCTGATCTGTGCGAACCCAGTGTTCAATACAAACCGATCCGTGCCAAACTGATCTGTTTGGAGCTGATCCATGCCGAACCGACCTGTGCTGGAATTTGCACATCGCCCAGGCTGCTCCTGC